GTGCACACCCCCCACTGGATGTGCGCAAGGACCTAACTGGACATTTCCCAATGAAGGTGAAGAGAGGACGCTGCGGACATTGCAGTAAAGGGTGTACTAATACCCAATGCAGCAAGTGCGATGTTCACCTCTGTTTTTCAGAGAACAAGAACTGTTTCTGGGACTATCATTGTAAATAAATGTCAAAGTTCTTGTTGTTGGAATAAATGACTGTTCATAACAACATGACTGAGATTATTTTTCATGTTATACTGTTCTGGGACAAAAGCAAAACCCTGGAAATGAATCCTTAGTTCTGTATTGTTGTTCAGACAATGAGTACAAATACAGGAGATTCTGCTCCCCATTTAGCCCAATGTTGCAATATTACAACATTTCTGTAAAAACTTACAAAAACATAAAATTTTTGAAAACGCTTCATTTTCAGCCCCAAAGGCCTCCTACAACAACATCTGAATGGTTGAAATTTTTTTTTTAGTGTTTCTCTATATTTGGGTTTTACAGGGTTAACATGATGTTACATAAATCAAATCAAAAAGTCCTCTCCCCCTCTCGTGAATGCGCTTTCGCTACACTAATTTCAAATTGTTAATATTTATGAAATGAAGCATTTTGTTGAGTTTGAGCTTTCTATTATTAACTATGTGCATTTTATAAAATAATGTTTGAATATGCCTTTGATGCCATTGAATGCTGTGTGTCCACAAAAATACCACATTTTCAAAAGTGTATTTTGAGAAAATAAAGCAGAATACCATCACAAATTTTGGATATTTCAATGAAAGGCATCAAATCTTTCTAAAACAGTCAATTTGAGTTGGCGGATGATGTCATTTTTTTGGTATAAAATGTTAAATATAGTACAAATTTAATTTTTTTCATTTTCAAGCCTTAGTATTTTCTAGATTATTCATAAGAGAGGGGCAGAATTAGAATACAAAATACACAACACATATGGGAAGCTGTATCTACATTACCAAATCCCTGTCTTTGAAATGAGGCTTTTTACAGTCCTTCAAATATGCTCCGGCAGAGCGCAGAGTAAAATTTGAGCAACTTTTAAGCACCTAAAAATATATGATGAACTTAAGGGACACCTTTATAAGTCCATATTCCTCAAGTTATAGTAGCATATTTTCACCCCTGAAAATTTGAAGGACTTACTTGGCTGAAATACTTTTCTTGATATAGCCATGTGAAAGTGGCTCCTCAGAAATCGCTGTTCAAAAAGGGCCAGAACTTAGTTGCAAAAATATTTTTTATTACAAAACTATAGTTGAGAACTAAAATTTTGGATTTATTCTATTAGGAAGTGTATGCACCCACTGGATTTTTTTCAGACAAATCTGAGATGGTCAAGTGGGAGGTTCCTCTGAAATTTTGTCATGGTTTAGTCCCGCCGGATGCAACCTGCAATCCAGCGGGCACTGGAACCATGGGCCCAAAGGCTGGAAAAGGACCCAAATGCACAGGCTGAGAAAAGATAAAGGAATTTTAATAAACTTATCAAAACAACAAACACTTATACAACAAATCAGGGGAGCAGCGACACAACACACCAGGGCTCTAAAATCCAGAATGCAGTTGGCAATTGCAGCTCTTAAATACTCAACTTTCACCTCCACTTCAACGAGCAACAGGTGTGGCTCAGCAACAGGTGTGGCTCGTTGAAGTGGAGGCGAAGACAGCCGGAGGGGGAGGGACTGCAAGGAAACCCTTACAAATTTGGACATTTGACATGGAATGACCCTAGGGTGTTCTATAGGAAGGTCTTATAGAACTGCAATAATATTATAGGACTTTCTTTTCCATAGAGGTGTTCGATAGGTTTCTATCGCAAATTCCTATAGAAAACACCAAAAATCCTATAGAACATGCTGTTCTACTAAAATGTTCTATAGAGTTCCATTGATGTTCTATAGAATTCCATAGAAGTCCTATAGAACTTTTTTTTGCAGGGATGTACTAAATTTCATGCCAACAACAATTAAAGCAATTCTTACCTTTCTTGCATTTTAACACTTTTCTTTTGTAATCTTAAAATGCTCCTAATAAGCGTATGGCACTCTAAAATGTAAAAGAAATCCACCAGGTGTTGAAACTCATCAATATTCAATTCTCATATATTTCTGATAAGTCTGACCAATCATTTTCTTCGGTCCGAATAAAATGATTTGCCGAGCTTCCTGTCTGTCATCCATCGCTGCGTCCCTTCCAGTTGCCGATAGCTGTCACCGCTTGCGAGTCGCGCGTCTATCTGGCAGAGCTGCAGAGCGGTAGAGACAAAACAGGTACTCAACAAAGTTAGCCTGCAAATAAAATAGCTGCAACTGCTTTAATGACTAACGTTACCGGGACAATTCTGGTGTAGTAAGACGTTATGACAGCAGTTTTGCAAGAAAATATGAATGAATTCTGCCGAAAAACGACGCATCTGACTGTAAACAAACAGGCGCTGAAATGCTATAATTACTATAATAACGTTAATGGTAGTTCGTCAGACGTTACGAGGGCATTTTATTTTATACCACATATAGAACTGAATATTATGTAATTACTGTTGGTTAGTTTTCACTAACCGGTGCCTCTGAATCTGACTCCATTGCCCCGTTTCAAGATGCTTTCACATCGGACGCGAAACGAATTTTTCGTAGGACAGATTACATTCAAAGTCAATGCAAAGACGCGAATACACGCGAGATTCGCGTCTTTGCATTGACTTTGAATGTAATCTGTTGTGCGAAAAATTCGTTTCGCGTCCGGGGTGAAAGCAGCTTCATTCTTGCTGCTCACTTTCTCACCGCACGCGTCAGGGGAGGAGGGGAGCATCAGAGGTCAGGCGGGGGGAAGAGGGCGGGACTTTGGAGGTGCTGTGCCGCATGCCAGAACTTGAAAGGAAATCATCAGCCAATGGTGGTGTGAAAAATGTCAGAAAGCCTTGCATAAGGTGATATTTAGCATCAATAGTAGGCCCACCCTTTGCCTTCTAAATCTTGAGTATGATTTTTGTACTGTGTCTGGTGGGATATTGGCCCATTCTTTCAAGACAGTCTCCGGTGTTTAAGGATGAAGGAGGAGGAGATCAAGTTGGCACTTTGCACTCCTGAACTTTCCATTCAGGTTCAGTTAAGTTTGGGTCGAGTGATTGTGCTGGCCATGGTGGACATTTCACTTGGACCAGTGTTCTAAGAACATTCTTTAATGTTTTTAGCTGTGTGTGTATGGAGGCCCTGTCCTGTTGAAATATGGAACATCATGAGGGAACATAAACCCATCCAGATGCATTAAAACAATAAAAGACCACTCCTCAGACAATACTTTCCTCCATTGCTCGGGGAGCCAAGTTTTGAGTTCCTTACTCCAAGTAATGCTTTACTGTAAATAGCCGTGGAAAGAAATGGTTTCTGAAAGGTGGCTCAACCATAAGTACCAGTTTTGTGACGGTAACAACTTACTGTTTTCTGTGGACCTGTGGACTAAAACGATGAACACACTTAACATTACAGGAGAGAGTTAAGACATGCAGAGGGCAGTTAAATTATGTCAGAATGATTTTTCCCCCTGGTGAAAATTCCAATGACTCATATATCCTCCTTGGAAGCAAAAGAAGACCCCAGATTCACAAACCAAAACACAGAATAGAGCTGCAGCAGCACCAGACAGTAGAGGCAACAGTGCAGAAATGGCATGGACTGTGTAATTGTGATAGCATGAACGATCCCCATTTCAGTAATACAGCTCTCCCTAGAGCTTATTAATGCTAGTACAGGAGGACACCAGATCAACTGAACTAACTCATCGCAACATGAAGACAAGCACTACAAAAATAAATAAATAAATAACTAAAGAGGCAACAATTCAGAAATAGAGGGGGAGTAAAATTAGGGCAGCATGAATGTTCCCCGTTGCCATGATTCCACTCCGCTCAGATCTTATTAATGCAAGCACTGTTGGACTCCAGATTCATTTCATATCCCAACAGGTAGACTAAAATTACAACAGAACTTGACTGTGGAGGAAATAGATTCGAAATGGAGAGGGGATTGAATTTTTCGCAATATCAATTTTCCTTCTTTGCCAAAAATCCACTTCCCCCAGATCTTCATGATGCAAGCAATGGCGCCCCCAAGGGGGGGCTGAAAATTTTCTGAATATTATCAGTTTCTGAATATCCACTGTGAAGCTCATTTGGTCGCCAATTTGGCACGTACCTGACTACATAGACTTCACTAAAGCCTGGCATCTGTTCCAGGAGGTCTATTGTCCTGTAGGTTTCCATGCCGATCATGTGTCAGAATTTGACAGACATTCTTCACGTTTCTGACACGTTCACAGATTTCTAGAAGGCAGATTAAAAGTTTTGCTCAGAGCCTGGTTGTTCAAAGCTTTGTTAACTTTAACCAGTGGTTAAGTCTAAACCACAGCATCTATATCTCTGGATAAAAGCGCAGATGTTAGAATGTTTTTGGTACATTTTGTAAGTTTCCTCCTGTGTAGTTTAAGGATTGAGGAGCATTCGCGAAAATCTTATAGTGGTTATGATGTTAGGTGGTTAGCGCTAATTTAAATTAACGGTGTCACAGTCTGCTGCTGTCTCTCCCTCTGCCTGGCCACACCCCGTCCACTGCTGACCACACCCCTCCACTGCTGGCCACACCCCTTCCACTGCTATTGCTCTCAGCTGAGTCTTATTACCCAGCCAGTTTATAAGCAGCTCTGTTTCACTAACTCACTGCCAGATTGTCGTTGCTGCATGCACTACTCTCCAGCATTTACCTTTGGTCTGACTTCCTGGAATCGACTCTGCCTGCCTCTGGCTACGTCCTCTCGCTCCTGCCCCGGTAAACGTGATTGTCTTCTGCCTCTGACTCTGAGTTCTGCCTGCGTGCTTTCTGGTTCCTGTCTGCCGTCTTCCAAGCCCCTGTCCAAGCCACCCGTCTTGCCACTCCACTGCCTGTCTGTGTGGATACGACCTCCCCTGCCGAGCCTCAAGCCAGCCTGCTCCGGTGGCCCAATGGTAACTCTCCTGTCTGCGGTATGGGAGACTCGGGTTCAATTTCCGCCATCGGCGCCTGCTCCAGCAGGTTGTCAGAAGAGCTCCACTCAAGACCCACGGGCTCCAGATCCCATTCTGCATCTAGTCACTCAGCACTGCTTTCTGTTAACCTCTGCCTCAAAGTCATTAAAGATCTATAAACATCCACACGCCAGATTGTGCTGCTATTGGGTCCTGCCGCTCCCCGTGTCAAACGGAGCTTTGAACAACCGGGCCCAGAGGTTTTTATGATTTTATTTTCACAGCTGTACAGAACAAAAATATATTTTTCATATATGTTGACCCAATATGTTCTCCTTTTTTTTTTTTTTTTTTAAGTAAATTTACTGGAAAAATTGCAAAGTTTTACCTTATAATTAAATATTACAGTAATATGAAAAGTTAAAAAGGGTTTACATTTTGTAGAATCAGCGTTATTGTCATATGTATCTAAATTTATTACTTACTATATTTCTAATATATTCTCTATGTATTAATTGATATACAAATTATTGCCATTTTCAATATATTGTCAAATGTATAGAATATACATTCTAAAATATAACTGGTCATATATGCAGAAATATATTTGAGGCAATACATTTTTAAATACATAATGCCTATACATTGCCAATACATTAATTAAAATGATGAAAGAATTATTTAAATACGTTGTATATCATTTTGTGTTCTTTTAATATACACTTAACGCCATTAAAAACACAACGGTGAGGTATGTACTGTATTTGCGGCAAATTGAAGAATCGATTGATTTTTATTGCTTTTCCAGTGAGGCATGAGTGGAAATAAAGAAAAGCACGTGACGTGAACGCGCCAAGCACTTCAGTAATTACAAACATTGAGCTGCTTGTGATGTGTACAGTGACACTTGACTTGTTCTTTTGGGTGTGGTCAATAGCCTACATAAAGCCAACAAAAAAAAAAAAAAAAGAAAGGAAAATGCTTCTGCATCAAAAAAATGATCAGTCTCATGATCAGTTTGGGTTGCTGTCCGGAATAGGCCTCACATCTCACATTTCTGAGTCTGTAAAGCGGATGTGGGCACCTTATTTTTCCGGTTAGCATCTGCAGCTGTTGTTCGAGAACAGGACTGGTCTGCATGGGCCCGGGACAATTCTCTAAATGCCTTCTTTCACTCCACTAATGTGGTTATAATTGTTTCTTAGAAGTCCATTGTGCAGCTATGGGAAACCTTGGTAGCTATGCCTGTCTGGTTTGCTGCCGGTAGAAGAGGGCGCCAGCTTGGCTAAGCTTACTGATAACTAGCTATAACTTCATACGGACATAACGTTGAAAGCTGTTGTAAGCATGGCCGGGTCATAGCCAACATTTTTTCATCTGCAGTTGTGAAACCTTGCTCTACTTACTGCTAATAAAACTTAAAAATTCTGACAAATGCGTTTGTGTGTTTCTGTGTGCCATTGTATAACTGCCTAGTCTCAGCACTGTAGCAGGCAAGGTGTTCGTCAGAGCCAGGTGCTAAAGATCTCTTGGGGAGAGCGAGGAACCACGTCAGCTCGAGGCAGTGTCGGCGGGAAAACCGGAAGCTAAAACTGGGACACAGCATCCCTTTAAAACAATTATTAGCCCTGACTTGTGCTCAGTCGTTTTCTAAATTAGCAATACATTCACTCTGAAAACACTCCACAGTATCAGGTGTTGCTTGTTCTCCCCGTCAACGTTAGGCAATGCGGACGCGCAGTTTCGTGCATTTAAATCAGCGGTAATGAATTTTGGACCACTCCCAAAGTGGAGGAGAGTATTTGGTGGAACGACGGCTAGGAGATCGGGGCAAATGTGATGTTGTATGGACTTGGTCTGTGATTGTGCGAACATTGGGCGCCCCAGGTGGCGAGACTCGGAGTGGGATTTGCGTATCTCGTCGGAGTCCGTGAAGGCTCCTAAGCCCCCTGGGGTCCCAGGTGGTAACTGTTTCTTGCTTATTTCTTGGAGAGGGGAAGGGAGGGAGGGACGTAGAAATGAGACGAGTGGGGATTGTGGGAATGTAGGTGGTATATATTGACATAAGGCCAAATAGGAAGGCGCATTGGGAGTGGTCCTGTTCATTAACCTATGTTATCGGGAACTTCCTTTAATGAATTTTGGACCACTCCCAAAGTGGAGGAGGGAATTAGGTAAACGACGGATAGGAGATCGGGGCGAATGAGATGCTGTATGGACTTAGTCTGTGATTGAGCGAACGTTGGGAGCCCCAGGTGGTGAGACTCAGGGTGGGCCTCGCAGCTCTCGTCGGAGTCCGTGTGGCTCCTAAGCCCCCCGGGGTCCCAGGTGGTGGCTGTTTCTTGCTTCCTTCTTGGAGAGGGGAAGGGTGGCAGGGATGTAGAAATGAGATGAGCGGGGATTGTGGGAATGTAAATGGTATATATAGGCGTAAGGACGCATAGGAAGGCGCATTGGGAGTGGTCCTGTTCATAAACCTATGTTATCGGGAACTTCCTTTAATGAATTTTGGACCACTTCCAAAGTGGAGGAGAGTATTCGGTGGAACGACGGATAGGAGTTTAGGGCGAATGAGATGTTTTTTGGACTTGGTCTGTGATTGTGTGAACGTTGGGAGCCCCAGGTGGCGAGACTCAGGGTGGGGCTCGCATCTCTCGTCGGAGTCTGTGTAGGCTCCTAAGGCCCCAAAAACTGTTAATGAATCAGCGAAAGATGGGCTCTATGTACGTCGTCAATATTATTACGAATATAGCTTGAGTAAGAGTTTTATGTCTCGCGGTCGAGAATTTTAATTAGGTGGTCCGGAACTCTGCCTGGATGCTGTAGGCGGCGCCAATGTGAAAGGAATGCCCGGAGAAGTATTTTGGCGGAATATTGGATCTAATTAGAACATGGTGGAAAAGGTAGAGGAACCTGTGGTGAGTGGCGACGGCCCCGTGTCGGTCTTGAAAAATGGGTCTTGGGGAGAAGCGTGGTTATTGTACCTCGAGGTGACGTAATTTGATATTGGCTCGAACAGACTGTGGGCAGAGTCTAGGCGAAATATGAAATAGGCTGAGAAATGCCAAACTGATCCATTTTACTTCTCTTTCTCTTGAACATGAGTTGAATGAGATGTCGTTTAGGCTGGCGCGATGAGAAGAATTACAATTAGCGGAGAGCGGAGCGAACTCGGAACATCTCAAGAAACCTAAGAAGGCCAATAGGAACACGGCTTGTAGAGTGGAATCTGTGGAAGGAGAATGGTACCCTGAACACAGCGTTGGGATGCAGCGAGAGAGAAGCTCTGCCGTCAGAGGTAAAAGTTTAGTCAGAGCGGGAGGTTCTTGTTTACGTAAGGGTCATTCCGTGTCAATTCACCGAATGGCTCCCGCATGACCCCCTCAGATTTTCTTGAAAGAATTCATGTTGGTGGATTCACTTCTTAATAGAATAATCCCAAAATTGTAGGTCTCTACTGCCAATAGTTTGGCCACAAAAAATTATTAAAAGGACAAAGGTTTGGGTGATTTTAGCCTTCTTTTTAGCATCGCCTTCTGAAGTTCCAGTTTTGAGCTGGAATATCTTAAAAAGTACTTGAGCTAGGACCTCTAAAGTTTGAATGTCAAATATCTGGTGCTACATCTGTACAGACAAAACTTATAATAATTCGAAAGGTGGAAGCTCCTTCTACCACCACAGGCCATAGATATGTGCTAAAAGAGGAAGATATTAGAGCTGCAGATGTTTTCAGGAAGGACTTCAAGTGACTCTTTAAATTGGCGGAACATGTTCTATCATATTCATTCTGTGTTACTCATTAGAACTGATAAGTTTTGTCTGTACTTTTGTATGCTGCGGAACATTTATCATTATCACAATATAGTTGAAAAGTATATGCGTGTGAGTAGGTTAGCTGCAAGGGTATGGTGATCTGCAACATTTATTTTCTTAGAAGTAATTGCAGACTAGATGCTACCTTACTTTGAAATAATATTGATGATACTTTTTGTACAATTGTGCACTGTGACATGCTTAAATGCTCGATTTCGAACTGCAATAAAGCTTATTTTGATTTCCATTTTCAAGCTTCAATATCTTCCCTGTTACGTCTCTCTGCTCCAATAGTGGTCCTCTGCCCCATTGTTATGTTGTTTCTAACAGCCTTTGGTGGCGAATTTGTATTCTTTCTTTTCGTTTCCGGATGTGCATCTGCGCCGCCTCACCACCTGATGTCTCCAGGACCTAAGTAAGAGGCCCTGCCCAGAGCCAAGATGGAGAGGGTTCGCTGACGTGGCAACATCAGCTTTTGTTCTGGCCGACCGCTTCGTGCTTCCAAAAAAAAAAAAAACGCTACTTTGTTTTTTGTACCCAAACTTTAAACAATTAAAAATCCCTAGAGAAACTAGAGCCTGTGTTGCCTCTCCCACTTTTATGTTGTGGTTTGCTCTTGTTTTCTGCGGGTGGTAACATTCCCATATACTAGTGTGAATGTGACTGATATGTATTTAAAGTTAATGTCAAATGGTTTATAAGAGGCACTGTACAAAATTTGAGATCTCTGACATAATTACAGAGCTGTCCACAAGACTACGAAGCAATAATCAAGAATTAGCATTCCAATATATAAATCTAACTACATAATTAATACAAAAATTCATATTCGGAAAAAGAGAAAGAACACCATCACATTTTTTGGATATGCCATAAACAAAAACCTGCTCTGTAAGGTGAACTTGATTTGGATTTGATACATGGTGTCATTCAACGGGAATATAGCTTCAAATTTGCAGGAAAATGTGTTTTTTCTCATTTTTGATCGGCAATATCTCAGATGCTATTTACTTCACATTGGTAATTTTTCAGAAAACCATGTTCCTAGTCCTAATGACACCCCCCACAAAATATCAGCCCCCTATCATAAAAACTGATGAGTTTACAGGCCCTTAAAAGTGCTGCCACAGTTCGCAAATAGAAATTTTCGACAGAATCTAGGGGCCTATTACTGCATGTTACACGAGCCAGACTGCTGAAATTTAAATTATGTACAGATGTAGCACCAGATATTTGACATACA